GGCAAATCTTATTTCAGAGCAATCCCTCAGTGGATTTGGGTCATAGCATTTCCAAGATTATTTCAAAATACTTTGAAGTAGACACCAGTTGAAGTTGTCATTAGGTTTCAAGTACATTCCTGTTGTCATTGGGAGGGGAAAATACAATCGAAACATTTGGTGAGCACATCTTCTGAATTAATGTTGGTTCTTTCTTTTTAGGAAAGCAATTCGGGCTGCCCTGAAGAACAAGCAGCAAGGAGCCATCTTGACCACCCACCACATGGAGGAGGCTGAAGCACTGTGTGATCGAGTGGCCATCATGGTGTGTGGAAAGCTCCGGTAAGATACAGCATAGATCAGTGGACTAGCAAGATGAATGCTATGGAAGTTCTCAGAGAACAGGCAGATTTTAGGGAACCAGCCTCATTTGTTACGCCTACCAGGGCTTAAATTCTCATAGAGCATTTCCTGAACCCGCTACACTGTTCCTGTTTTCTCCCCTGCCCCCACAACATGCTATAAAGACAATGAGAGGAATGGAAATATTTACTGGAGCTCTGCTGTGGACAGCTCTGGCTGAATATAAGTCTTGATAGCCACTTCCCTAAGGCCTTGTCTACACTAAAATGAAGATTGCCACTGCCACAATCAATCTTTCAGAGTTTGATTTAGTGAGTCTAGTTAAGACTCGCTAAATCAAACTCAGAGGGCACCCCTGCTGGTGGCTGGTACTCCTTCTTGGCTTAAGGTAAGATGACTTTAGCTACATATTCTACATAACTGGAGTTGTGTACCTTAAGTCGAGCTGCTGGGTCTAGGGTACACCTGGCCTTAAGAGGAGAGGGACATGAAAGTAAGATTTTTGGTCCATTAATAAGTATTGGCCACTGTGTTGCTTTCTTTGTCTCCAGGTGCATTGGGGCTGTTCAATACCTGAAAAGCAAGTTTGGTAAAGGTTACTTACTGGAAATTAAAGTAAAAGATCCAGCACAAGTTGATTGCCTCCATATGGAGATTATGAGGATCTTTCCACATGCAGATCGTCAGGAACGGTAAATGCAATACATATCAGGGTCATGAATAATGTTCCCTCTAATCTTTTTCCTCCATGTGTACATTTTTATCTGTGTGTGGAATAATTTTATGTGCACAAGGCATGTGTAAATGTGCACCACCAATAGAGACAAAAACCTAGCTGTGGATGCTCTGCTAATCAGCAGGGTGACATTTGACTCTCTCCTGAGTGGCTACACAAGCACCCAGCTTACAAGGTACACTGGTCCTGAATGTCTACAGAGTTGCTTAGGCCTTGTCGATACTTCCAGAAAGATTGATGCTCTGGAGGTTGATCTTCTGGGGTTCAACTTAGTGGGTCTGGTAAGGACCCACTAAATCAAATGCTGAGGTCACCCCAATAGACTTTGGTTCTCCTCACAGTCATGAGGAGTAAGGGAAATTGATGGGAGAGTTTCTCCTGTTGATCTCCATGGTGGGCTTAGCCCAGAAATTCGGTTTAAGATACATTGACTCTAACAACGCAGTTCTCGTAGCTGGAGTTGTGTATCATAAGTTGAATTTCTGACATAGTGCAAACCCACCCTTAATGTGTCATCCCTGCTACTGGGCGGCAAACATAACAGCCTGATCCAAGATATCTCCTTGGGAAAGACCAGTGGGTTACAGTTTCTAGCTGGCAAGTTGATTAGAGACTGTGATTGTGCCTGGGCCATGCAATTAGATATGGGAGCTTTTTACACCTTCTCCTTCCCCTCCGGACAATGGACAATTTAATTAGTGGCTTGATTTTCAAAATGGACACCTTTTTCTTTTCTGTCTCAGGGTTTCCGCTTTGCTGGTGTACAAGGTACCAATGCACAATGCATTGCCTTTATCCCAGACTTTCTCCAAGCTAGAGACAGGTAAGAAAGAAACTACCAGGGCAAGGCTAAGGTCCGTTGAAAAGGACTTGGTAAAGGTGAAACGTATTTTTGTAACCTGTATCTTCCTTTCCCCACAGCCAAACGCACCTTCGGCCTCGAGGAGTACAGCTTTTCTTTGAACACTTTGGAACAGGCATGGGATTTCAGCATTCTCCCTACCTATTGGGAAGGACGATGTGGGGACGGTTTGCATGGGCTGCAGACCTGCCAGGGAGCAAAGCACAAGGATTGAATTTTGGGAGGAGGAAAAACAGATGCTTATGGGAGACAGATTCATGCTCATGATTCTACAGGGAATAGTTACAGCAGGGACTGTCAGAGGGAGGTCCAGCCTGCCCAGTCAGGAAAGGGAGTAACAGGACAGACGTTGCCTGACTATTCCCCTGCGATTCTATCCCAGATTGTGAGGAGCTGCATAGTGAGCCAAGCAGCCTTTGCAAGTCGCTGCTCCCCAAGGCTCCGCTTCTCTTATGAGCTGGGCAGCAGAGCCTTGTTGGTGCACGAAGAGATGTGCATGGGTGATGGGAGAATCTAGGGCTGGGGGAGGCCTCACCCCTTTTCCCCCAAACCCCACTCATGACCCCCAGGGAGCCAGGCCCCGCACTGCACCTTGGGCAGCCCGCAGCTCCAGCTTTCCCTCGGCCACCCATGGAGTAGGGTGGTTGCTGCCTTCCCCAGGTCCCCGCAGGCATTGGTGGCCCGTGGTTCCCTTCCACCCTGCATTGGGTTGTCCACAGCCTCCCCGTCTCCCGCACGTGCATCCTGGCCACTCCAGAGTATGGGCACCCCTTGCATTCCCCACCCTCCCGAAGATGGGAGGGCTCCTGCCTCTCTGGCCCCGAAGGAGAACTGACAGTGTACGGCCCCAGCCTTAGCACGGCTGAAGCCCAGAGAGCCCCAGGAGACCAGGGGGAGCCATGCTGAATGGGGGAAGAGGGTTGGAGGCAGAGGGTGGGTGGGGCCAGCTTGTCAGTTTGGGAAGGCTGTGCCTTCCCCTGCCTCCTATACCCACCGCCCATGGAGATGTACATCAGCCTCCTGCAGCAGGGAGAAATGAGCAGACAAACCACGACTGAGTCACAGTCGGTTGTGTGAGTGGCTCGTGGCTGCAATGCCTGGCCTGATGTGCCAGGCATGAGGCTAGGCCATAACTCCCCCACCCCCATCCTGAGTGCATAAATTCCACGATCAAACACTACTCTGTGCAATGTTGCCGTGCCGTTTGTCGGGCATCATGGTCTGAATAGCCCCCGTAAAGCGCCCTTGCTCCATTCCAGCTTCACTTGAAATCTGTCGGGTGACGCATGCGTAGAAGTGAATGAAAATAAAACTCCAGTTTTAGACAGGACAATGGCTTTGTTCCAGTGTTGCTAGTGACCTTTGGGGACATGGTGAACAGGAAACCAGACTGAACTTGGCTGCTTTGAAGAGAGCTGTATCAGCAGAAAACCTGTCCTCTGTGATGATCCTATTTGGGCAACCGCAAACCTTTATGTTGCCTTCATAAAAATGGTAACAGATGTTTCATGTGTTGGTTTATTAGTCCCAGGAAATAACCAGAGCTTTGTTGCTGTCCATTTCAGGTGTTCTTAGAACTCTCCCGTGAGCAAGAAATGAATAATTTTGACACAGCTTTGGAAGGTACTTTTGAATGGAAAAGACTTCACCAGGAAGACCTTTAAAAATACCAACCTGTTCCATTATATTTTATTCAGCATTCATGTGTATGATTTAATAATGCACATATTTACTATTATTACCACACACTTATCAGCATAATAAACATTGTGGCATGTAGCTTTGAGGCTGCTGTTCTTTGGACTCAGAAGTACTTTTTGCTAAATTAGCCTCCATGGTGAGAAAGGAAGATTTGTAAAGGTGAAGGCAGTGGGGTAACTCAAGGTAAATTGCTCCGCTTACAATAGGTGTTGGAGAAGTTCAGGCCTGGAACTGTGAAACAAGTCCATGAACTTGACAGATGGATGTGGACTGTTGATATGGATGGGGAAGCATGCTTTGAAGTGAACAATTAACTACATACAGATGTACCTTGTTAGCATCGTCATCAGTCACCACCATCTAATTGAGATTCAGTCCAATCTTCAGCTCATGCACAACCACACAGAATAATCAATGGAGTGAGAACAATGAGATTCTGTTTTCCACTGGTACAGATAATCTACAAACCATGTTGCAAGTGCATAATCCTTGCACATTCATGGTGATCTCAAGCTTCCCCTTTAGTCTGAAGAGAGCAGAGTAAGAATGAGGGTAAAAGCCTCACAAAACCCCTAAGAGATAAATATTAACCGGAGGGAGGTTAATGAAGCAAAGAAGGGCTAAGTGACTTGACCATAGTCACAAGATGAGTGAGTGGCAGAGTAACTGGAACACAAACATTTCCTGTTCCCATTTCTGTGCATTTCCCTCTGTGGGGAAGTGAATAACTGATAAATGCCATCATCTAATGCACAGAAGGAAGTCAGTTTATATACTGCTCATCATTCTTTCTAACTGAAATTTTATAATTAAAGGCATTTTATATGGTCATGTCCTTTATTATGTTTGTCTCAATGGAGGAGTGATCTGCATGAAGCTGACCCTTCAGTTCTTATGCTTATAAGAAGCACTTGGGATCTTTTTTGGGGGAAAAAGAAATACACTACCTTTACTGAAAATACAATACATGCATTGTCTCTCTGTCTTTCTCTCTCACCCACCTATACCCCCCTGCAGATGAGCTAGTCTAATGGACTTTTACACTGAACATGAGTGAAGAGGTAGGCTCTGTCAGTCTTGTACCAATGCTTCAAGGCTCTGCAGGATTGAACCCAGAATTCTGCGGCAAAACCCCCCATCCTCATACCTGTAAATTCCCATTTGAGCCTGAATTTTGCAATGCCACTCAGCAATCCTTGATTCTTACATGGTGTTAATCTCGGAGCTTTCCACGGTTATCCCTGGGTGGTTATTGTCCGGCTCTTCATCATTATGTCTTGTTGGTCATCTCACCTTTCAGGGGTCTCTGCCTGTCTCCAAGGTTGTCAATTTTGCTAACTCCTTTAGCATCGGGCACAATGGATGATTTCATATCATCTCATAAGAACATAAGAATGGCCTTTGGTCAGACCAAAGGTCCATCTAGCCCAGTGTCCTGTCTGCTGATAGTGGCCAATACCAGATGCCCCAGAGGGAGGGATCACAACAGGTAATTATCACATGATCCTTCTCCTGTCACCCATTTCCAGACAAACAGAGGCTAAGGACAACATTCCTACTCATCCTGGCTAATAGCCATTGACGGACCTACCCTCCCTGAACCTATCTAGCTCTTTTTTGTATCCTGTTGAAGTCCTAGTCTTCACAACATCCTCTGGCAAGGAGTTCCACAGGTTGACTGTGGCTAGGGAACAGGGAGTGACTGCTGCCTCTTGCCTTCAGCTCCTTTGCTACAAACTTCTCGGCTTCATAATCACCACCCAACCCCTCCTCAATTGGCCTTCATGCAATGAAGCCTGGCTTTCTCTCCCTGTCAGGCATTGTCAGCAGTGTTTCCTCCTGTAAGCTGAGCATTTAGGTGACCACCCAGGAGAAATTCAAATGCTGCCCAGTGGATTAGAAGAGTGCCCACAAGCTCTGGCTAAAGGTATGGAAGAATAGCTGCAAAAATCCTATGGAACCAGCTCTGCTTGTCCCTGAGGGAACAGCTGTGATGCTGAGGAGATATGGGGCAAGATGGTTGCATTCGTTTTCTGAGTAGAAGCTCATGTTAGTACAGCCACAGACACCATGAGCCGATGTGCCCTGTGGGGGCTACCTTACCTCAGGAGAGAGAGGCGCCAACGCCGAGAATCGGTTGAGTACCACAGAAACCGTTCTCTCTCCCCGCAGGCAGTACCGCAGGAGGTAGAATAAGGATCAGAGCGAGCAGCGGTAGCCTCAGAAAAAGGGAGACGCCCTTGTTGGGGCACACTGGAGGAGGTAGGGGGCATGGCTGGGCCTTCCTATAGCCCAGAATATTTCTAGATGCCACAACAATTTATTGAGGCAGTTGCTAACTCAGTGCCAGCGAGGACGGTTTTCCAGACTGCTCCAGGGATGGGTACAGCTCTCGGTTTGGAGCAGGACCAAAGGTGTCCCCAAGATACTTCTTCACATGCACCCCCTTCTGTTTTTTTTACTGAGCTCTGCTCGGGCCCTGGGATGAATTCAGTGGTCCAGGAACATTTTTAAGGGAGGGGGGTGCTGACATCCTCCGCCTCCCCCACACCTGTCCTCTCCCATCCGAGCTGAGGCCAGGAGCAACACCCTGGCACAGGGCTGGCTACAAAGTCTCCCTCTCTGGTGCACGGGGCTGGCTGCTGGGACCCCTGGCTCGGAGCCAGCAGCAGAATCCTCAGCGCATAGGGCAGCAGGTGGGCACAGAGTTGACAGAGGAAGCAGCTGGCATCCTGGTTGCGGGGCTTCAGCACCCTTGTGCCGATAGGTGAATTCAACCCTCAATATTCCTATCACCCATCCAACAAGGTTTTCCACTTGCATAGGGCCCAATCCTGCAAGCTTCTGACTTCCCTCAAGCACCACTGAATTTGGTGGAAGCTGAGGTCACTAAGTACCCCCAAGGAAGCGCTTAGCATCTCGCAGGATCAAACTCTTATTTACTCGCTGCTTTGTCGCACCAGATTTCTGGGCTGTGACCTTTAGCCATCCTTCCTGTCAGCTCCAGAGTTCAGAGGCGATTTTCTAAGGCACTTTTGGCTGTAACTTTCCTCAGCGTGCTCTCCCTGGCTACGTTTGTTTACAGTATTCAGCGCTCATCCCAGGGCCTTCCACTGCAGCACTGCTAGCTAGGAGAACTGGTAGCCAGGGAAGGGGAGGAGAAATTTGAGAACCATTCACATGCACGGAACCATTTGGCAGCAGGGCAGAGGATAGGACGCTGTTTCCTTTCAGGGACTGTTCTGGTCTCAAAACAACAGTGCAGAGAAACGGAGGGAGCGTGTTCACTGTTTTCTCAGACTTGTCCCAGTGTCTCTGTTTCCTTCCTCAACTCCGGCTGTTGTGAAGGTGAGTTTTTTTCTGCCTCCCTGTTTCTGGACTGTCTGAGCCCTGTCCCCTCTGTTAATGCTTTTCACTCTCTGAAGCTGGGCTGTTCAACCAGTTCTGCTGTAGCGAACTAGCCACGTTATTCTGAACGTGCAAATAATTGTTTTCTCAGACTTGTCCCAGTGTCTCTGTTTCCTTCCTCAACTCCGGCTGTTGTGAAGGTGAGTTTTTTTCTGCCTCCCTGTTTCTGGACTGTCTGAGCCCTGTCCCCTCTGTTAATGCTTTTCACTCTCTGAAGCTGGGCTGTTCAACCAGTTCTGCTGTAGCGAACTAGCCACGTTATTCTGAACGTGCAAATAATTCGTCTCCACTGGAAACTTTTCAGGGGAATGGATCAGTTTTGACGAAAACGTTTGTTGGGAAAAGGGCTGCTCACCAGACCAGCCAATAGCCAGGTGGTTAAGGACTCACAGGGGATGGGGGCAGCTCTAGCCCTGATGAATATTTAAATGAAGTAGAATAAATTCAACAGGACAGTTTAAGCGAGACCCAACTCGGAATGGCCACTGTCCTGAGGGCCAGGATAGTCACTTGGGGTGAGAGGGAGTAATAAAATAAGTAGCTGAACCTGCATCTCTGCCTTATTGGGGAGGGTCCTACCTATTGGTTACAGTGGGCTAGGTGGTCCCTCTTTTTCCATGAAAATCTTTGGAAAGTCTCTGTTTCTTCCTGAGGCAAAACCAGGAAAAACAAATTAAAATTCTGAAAATTCAGTGGGACGAGCACTGTGAACCCAAGTCTAGCTGGAAATTCTGCTGGAAGCCTGCCATTGGCAGATTCTGCTGCTCTCAGGAGTCATTCTCCAGGCACAGTTTCCCCCATCAGTTGCATGTTCTGCAATGTGCCGAGGGAGGCTGAGGCGAAACGAGAATTTGATGGGAAATTAGACTTCCAACTAAATAATGTTCTCATAAAAACTTCACAGATGGCCATCTGCAGAAAAGGTCAGCTTCGTGTGTAAAAACCCAGTCACTCAAATACCTAAATGATAAATGTTGGCTATGCCACTGCGGTGCCTTGTGGGAGTTGACGTTTAGGTACCTCGTGTCCCCGGTTTCCTCTCCCGAGTGTGTTCGCCAGCAGGGCTAACATCTCCCATGGTGCACTAGGGCCAGGAACTCCCACAGAGCACCATCCTGGCTCATCACAAGGAGGCCCGGGGGACATGAAGCATGACGGAGCCTGGCCCACAGAGGAGACTGAATCCGTGAGGCACCTACATAAAAACTCCCACAAGGCATTGCAGTAGCATTTCCAAATGGAAATGTTCGGTCTTTTGCGGATGTGGATGTTGCATTGCAAACTAGAAGATTTTTTTAGAGGGGGTGGTACTGCAAAATTTCCTGCCGGTTCTAGTGCTGAGTGCCTCCTGGGGTCAGCTGACATCAGAGGAGGTGAAAAGTTCTTCGTGTGCTCCTCGTAATAAATAGAGAGAAGCTAGCCTGTTAATGGGGGCAATTGTCCATGGGCCCAGGTGATTTAAAAGGTCCTGGGGGTGGTGGGGGTGGGGGTTGGCTGCTGCTACCAGCATCGCAGTGGGTCTAAAGCATGCTTCCTGCCCGCACTCACTCTGCACTGCTCCTAGAAGTGCACCTACCATCCCTGGGAGGGAATGGGGAAACTTTGCACGCTGGCCCCGCCCTGAGCACTGACTCCACAGCTACCATTGGCTGGGAACTGCAGCCAATCGGAGTCATGAGGGGCGGTGCCTATAGCAGTGGCATATGGAGACTGCTCTAGCCTCCCTACTTAAGAACCGCTGCCTGAGGAGTGTGCCGGTCTCCCTCCAAGGTAAGTACTGCACCCCTCACCCCTTCCTGCCCCCCAATTCCCAGGCCCTGCCCCAGCCCAGAGCCAGCGTCCAAACTCTCCCCCAAAACCTGTGCCCAAGAGCCCCCCCGTTCCTGCACCCAACCTCCCTCCCAGAGCCAGCACCCTGCACCCCCTCTTATCCCCAGATCCCCTCTCAGAGCCCACACCCCACGTCCTCTCTCGAGCCCCAAACCTCTGCCTCCACCGTGTGAGGGTGGGGGAGCGTATCCAGTATGCCACGGGGGGGAGGGGATGGTGCAAGCGCGGGGGGGGGATGTCTCAGAGAAGAGGCAGGACGTGGCCTCAGAAGGGGTGAGGCAGGGGCAGGGCGAGGGACTTTGGGTTTGCACGATTAGATAGTTGTCAGGCCATGTGGAAGTCCTGGCTGTGCTAGGACACAAGCCAGGGCGTGTGCAGCACCGCCCAAATGTCATGCAGACTCTGTCTACATGGTCACGGCTTGTGCCTGCCTGCGGGCCCACCGGCTGTTCTGACCTGGGGCCTAGAATTGCAGTCAGCCACATCCCCTGCTCATCTGTAGCTGATCGGTACAAACCTCCTGCCCCCAAAAAGCCAGACCCTCTCAGGGAGACGTTTCCTTGGCCAGGTTGCTTTTTCACCGAGAACCCGAGAGGAGAGGCCCTGTTTTCTGAGGATGGTTTCCTCTTTCCAGGACAGTCTACTGAAATTCCTCAGAACCACATTCCAAGACCACACCTGACCTAACTGAAGCGAGATTGGAGTAAGGTGCGTGTACACACGCGAGAAATTCATATTAAAAGCAAACTAAAGCTGTTTATAAGTTGTAGCTAGCCTACAAGTTCACAACACTCCCCTTAGCTAGGTCCACTTCAGCTGCTGTTATAAGGTTAAAAAAAGGAAGATGGTACATTTCACAGCGTTCGTTTTTTTCCTCTGATCTTGACATTTGGTCTCTCTCTCTCTCTGTTTTATGTGTATTGTGTGTATTACAATTATTCATTTTTATGTCCTGGATCCTAATCACTTTATATTGTGCAAATGTTTACAGCCACCCATCATAGTAGACTTTCATCTCAATGTGTACATCTTCCATCTGGTCTGGGTGTTTGCCTTAAAGTAGCTGGGAAGAGGGGGAGAAGATGTGGCGTCCAACTTGCCCGGGACCGACCCCCAAGGCTGGGGAGCATGTGCTGGTGTTCCCGCTCCCCTGCAACTCACCCGCAGGGCTGGACCACACAGAATCTGTTAGCCTGGGCACCCCTAAACTCTAGTGTGTGAGGGGAATGTGGGGAGTGTCTTTTTGCTTCTCAGTCCGGGGCTTCTCGCTTGTATGCAGCCCCCTGACTGATTTTTTTCTGTGGGTCAGTGACCCCCGACCCAAAAAAGGTTTTCCACCTCTGCCTTAGAGGAAGATGATGGGGATTCTATAGCAGTGTTTCTCAACCAGTGGTACAAATACACTTAGAGGTTCTTGAGAGAAGTCTGGAGGGTACATCAACATTACTGAAATTTGGAAACAACTGAAAACTGAATTTTTGTGTTAAGTTTTACAGCACTTTATTATTTTTGTACTTTTTACGATTAAGTTGTTTAAACAAATGTGTTGCAACGGTAGGAAAAAACCTGTGTGTCTGAAAACTGTAGGTACTGGTGGTACTTATAGATTTTTTTAAAGGGGTACTTTATTTAAAAAAAAAGGTTGAGAAACACTGTTCTAAAGCATTCATGTCGTATAAAAGAGATGAAGGGTGTTTTCCCTTGATTCTTTTATTGTAAATTTTACTCTGTACTAAATATAAATTATGGGCACACTCCCAACAATGTGTCTCAAATCCTTGACAGCAAATAGTGGATTAATATACTGACTTTCCTGTACAGCCATTAAAAAAAAAAAAAGACAGTCTACTACATAGTCCAGTTTCCTATAAGCATTTGGCCTTGCGGATGGACATAAGAGGAGCTATTTATGTCCCTGTGAGAAAGGGGTTATGAGTTTCGCTTTGAGAGACAGACAGATGACAGAGCCATGAAATGAACCCAGCTGCTCCAAGAGACCTATCCCAGACCACTTGTACCCTCCCTCACGCCACACAAAGGGATCCATAGTGCTGTAGCAATCGAAAAAACCTTCTCTCTCTCTCTCTCTCTCTCACTCCATTCCAGGAATGCTCCCTGAACATCAGCGAGAGAGCCGCGTGTGTCAACAAACGGGAGCCCTGCTGTTAAAGCACATACTGGTGAAATGGAGGAAGAAAAAGCAGAGTTTTCAGACA